ATTTATTAGAATGATATTAAACGTATAATTACATCGGAAGAGAACACACAAGTTGTTTACAGAATTATTGTAAGATTATATGCTTTATACAGAAATATAAATCAAATATGCCATTCAAATGAAAACAAATATGATTTTTAATATAAAAATTAGACTTCAATACTGAAATTTGTAATTATTATTTTGTAAGAGATAAAGATAGTATATAGATAAAGATCTATAAAATCATTGTACATATATACGAACGTGGTACATACTATCCATACTATCTTCACTGATGTCAAATTGCACAGGTTATTTATATCAAGAACATTAAAAAGATTTCCTAATAAATGATTAATTTTATTATAAACTCTAATTTATTTGAAACGTGTCAGATCTTTTCACTAATTAACAATACTCGAAGTGTAGAATAATTGTAGTATTGCAGTATTTAATTGAGACTGCATATTAGGTTAGGATGATGCAAACTTTCAATTCTAGAAATAATCCTATATACTCGGACACAGGTTTCCTTGCACAATCAGATAAGTCACTTTCCGCCAAATTATGACTAACATTTATGTATTGTGTTTTTCCTGAATGACGTGAGATCAGGCTTTATTACCACTGAGGTTAATGAGGCTGCACTATAGTCGGTGGTGAAACTATATCAGTGGAAGTGGAAGTTTCCAAAGTGGCAAAAAATTAGGAGAATGCTCTTTTTCTTCCCGAATGTCTTATGTGGATGGTTAAGAACTCGATGATAGTTTGCATTTAATTGATTGCATTTAAAAAAGTGGCATTTTAAGTGATATTCGAATTTATTTATGCAAATATACCTCTAATAAGATAATGAACAAAAATTCGAATCAAATTTCGGACACGTGATAAGTGTCTAACAATTTCTTTTTTATGAACATACTTTTCAACTTTGTGAAAGAATTTTTCAATTGACATAAGTTTAAGGGAAAGGAAAAGTAAGTTGTCATGTAATATTTTTCATTGGACTTAGACATAATTATATGATAATTGTATATAATTAGTATTGCCTTACGTTTCCCGGACTTTATAGATTCAAAATGGCAAAGAGGACACAACCGTCTTGGGTCCCACCGCAAGGAAAAAATAGCTCAGTTCTCCGATTATACAATAGTTTGACTAGGAATAAAGAAGTATTTGTTCCTCAATTTGGGAATCGCATATTGTGGTACAGTTGTGGTCCTACTGTTTACGATGCATCACATATGGGCCATGCTAGGTGATTGCAACATTATATAAAAAATACTATGGAAATCTTACAACACAATACTCACATATGTATTGTTCGTTTTTGTGTCATTCAGGTCTTACATATCTTTTGATATATTGAGACGTGTATTGTCTGATTACTTTGGATATGATATTTTATATGTAATGAACATTACTGATATCGATGATAAAATCATAAAGAGAGCTAGACAAAATTATTTGTACGAGCATTATGTAGAGGAAAATCATACTCTTGATGAAATTTTGGATGATGCAAAAAGTGTGATGTGTAATTTCGAAGGTATTGTGAAGATTACGAGTGACGCTGATAAAAAATATATGCTACAAAAAATGTTGTCCAATGTGGAAAAAGCCATTGGAAATCTTGAAAATGCAGTAAAACTTAAGGATCAAGATAAAATTAAGGAATATCAAGAGGTTCATACATGTATTTCACATTATTAGAATATCAATAATCTAGTAATAATGCTATCGCTTAGTATTAATTGTATTTAACATTCTAAAGACACTATGTTTATAACTTCTATGGATGCAGTTGTTACTTAAAGAAGCAAGAGATCCATTGGCAGAATGGTTGGACAAGAAGAAGGGAGCAACAGTTGCGGAACATTCAATTTTCACTAAACTGTCTCAACACTGGGAAGCAGAGTTTCATAAAGATATGGACGCTTTGAATGTAAAATTAAATATGATTCTACCAAATTCAGTTGCGTAATTTTTATTGTACTCGAGAGTTTACAGAATTGTCTTTTAGGTAATGAGGCCCAATGTCTTGACAAGAGTCAGTGAATACATACCAGAGATAATAGAATACATAAAAAAAATTATAGAGAATGGAATGGCATACGAAAGTAACGGCTCAGTATATTTTGATGTTGCGACTTTCGCTAAACAAGATAAACATTATTATGCGAAACTCGTTCCAGAAGCCTACGGCGATACGTCCAGTTTACAAGAAGGAGAAGGTGAAAATGTCATAAAATGCTTCTGTTAAATTGATTAATAACAATATTTTATTACGCTTCTGTTAAAATTATATCTTTGTCCAGGGGATTTAAGCACCTCAGAGGTTTCTGAAAAACGATCACCCATAGATTTTGCACTTTGGAAATGTTCCAAGGAAGGGGAGCCTTGGTGGGAAAGTCCTTGGGGCAAGGGACGACCAGGCTGGCACATAGAATGTTCAGTCATGGCATCTATAATTTGCGGCGAGAGTTTAGACATTCATACTGGCGGAGTAGATTTGAAATTTCCGCATCACGATAACGAATTAGCGCAAGCGGAAGCGTACTTCAATAATTCCCATTGGGTCCGATATTTCCTTCATTCTGGTCACTTGACCATAGCTGGATGCAAGATGTCGAAATCGTTAAAAAATTTCATTACCATACAAGGCGCGTTGAAGAAGCATACAGCGAGACAACTCAGACTTGCGTTTCTTTTGCACTCTTGGAAAGACACGTTGGATTACAGCGAAAATACCATGCACATGGCCATACAGTATGAAAAATTTATAAACGTGGGTATAAATAACTAATGGATCATATATACACATTTAATGCTATAATATATTTAAATTATGTTTGTCATTTGTATTTTAGGAATTCTTCTTAAACGTAAAATGTAAAATTAGATGCCTGGGTACCAAGACGAGTATTAATACATTCATCAAATGGTCAAATTCGGAAGTGGAACTAAATCAAAAGTTTAATACTTCGAAGGATTCTGTGCACAACGCGTTGTGTGGTAAGCGAAAATTTGAAACAAATTACTATTTTGTATCGTACAACGAAAGTATTTAGTTATCCAGTTTTCATTCTCGTTCACTGTAGATAACATTGATACGAGAAGTGCATTGGATGCAATTAGAGATCTCGTGTCGTATTGCAATGTTTACATGAAACAAGTTAAACAACCAAATACATTACTGCTTAGAGATGTTGCAGTTTATATTACAAAAATATTTACTGTCTTCGGTGCGATATCGTCTTCGCATGATGCTATTGGTTTCCCGATTGAAGGGAATACTGATAATCTAAATGTACGTTTCACGCATTTTTAATTTTGTTCTAAATTATAAATTTCCATTTTTATTATGAACGTTTTTTATTTTAAGGTCGAGGAGGTAGTTATGCCGTATCTTGAGATCCTAGCAAATTTCCGCGAGAAAGTGAGGAATCAGGCTAAAGTGTTGAAAGCTAACGACATTCTCGATGAATGCGACATACTGCGCGACGATATTTTACCAAACGTCGGAGTTCGTTTGGAGGACAGCTCCGAGGGGGAATGCAATATGAAATTAGTTAACAGGGAGGAACTTTTGCGAGAGAGGGAGAGTAAGAGGCAAATGGAACTGGAGAAATCGTTAGAAAAAGAGAAAAGGAAAGCGGAAGCCGCCGCGGCAGCTGCAGCGAAAGAGGCGCAGAGAAAGATTTTGCCTTCTGAGATGTTTAAATTTGAAACAGATAAATATTCTCAGTTCGATAGCAATGTAAGTAATCAATTTTTCACTGTCCGATCATCTTCGTTATGAGGAATTACAAATATTTCGTTTGTTCAGGGCATACCAACGCATGATATTAGTGGCAAAGAGATAAGTAAAGGACAGATGAAGAAATTGCAAAAATTGCAGCAGGCGCAGGAGAAGAGATATAACGAATATCTCGCTACTATTCAAAACGGAGCTTAACGATCTTGTCTAAAAAGTATTAGCCTTTGTACTCATTGTTCGACGAAGAAGATTGGTCTCATCCGTCTAAAAATATTTATTTTCATTTCCTTTCGTACCACTGCACCGCTCATTAATTTATTAATTATGAACTTGGTGATATTTATGTAAGTACTTGCTTGTACAGTGTTTAAATCTAAAAAGATCAATTTTTTATTCTTGTTTTTCGGATAAGGATGATTTGCTTGGGCACTATTAAGTGCTCTTTTGGAACACCAATCGTACTGTTGTATTAAGATACAATTATGTGAATTTATTAAATAAATCTTATACCGATATTGATATAAGGAGTTCATTATTTTTTCCTTTAAATTATACTAAAATAGCGTGGGAGATAATGTTCTAGAAATAGAGTCAAAAACTTTGGAAGATACGATACGTCAGATATAATAGTTGTTATAAATAAATGAAAGCGATAAATATTACCGAATGTGTGTTTAGCCAAAATTCTGGGACGAGTCAACATGTATATACGTTATAAATTCAGTGGCGATAAGGAAGAATACATTGAATACATAGAAATACATGGAAAGATATTAAAGTACGTATCATCGATAAACCGCGGGCCTATATAAAGTTTATCATTAATGCACTGATAAAGTTACGACTATGCAAATTTTCCGCGGCTCGTTGCCGTCGGATTCGCGCGTCCTGAAACAAAATAAACTTCACACCACGCACATTTCCGTCCCACCGGATGAATCTGACACGTGATGCTGCCCATTATTAAAGCATAATACCCCTTTCACAATGACGCGCGAGTCGGTGTGTGACAGCTTTATAAATGTAAAAGCGATATAATGCCCGACTTGCCGTGAAGCGGACCGATATTCATCCCGCATTCAGGAACTGTGAAAACGCGTGCTGAGACGTGCGGGTCGTGTATCGCGTACGAGCATTTTCAACTCGAACGGGAAAACGCGACGCGACGACCGATAACGTCTCGTATAAAAAAAACTCGATGAAATGCTTATCTTCCTTGGGCATATCTTTCTGCGAACGTTTCATTACAATCCGTTAAAAAAATCCGAAAAAAGAAAGTAACTGGATATTTTAACGAAGTCAGGAAACTCGCGATATTATGGGATTTTATCGAATGCGTTCACAGAAAGAAAGACAGAGAGAGAGAGAAAAGGAATAAGTTGACGTTAACAATGCGTGACGGTTGGCGCAAAAAATACGCTCTCAAATATGAAGTCAAGAGCGGTAAAAAAGCAAACAGACTTTTCGCTCCGATTCTCTCTTTTCATCCTGCCCTCCCTCTCTCCCTTTCACAACGCGTTTTCCACACTGTGCGTAATGGCGTGAATGAATACGTAAATTTTTTCGGAAAAAGTCCGACTGCCGTCACCCCAGAGCTCGGAAGGTCTCGATTCGACTGATTGACACCTGAACGTTCTCGTATGCATACCATAAAGCTAGAAAGCCACCCTTACCGTCCCTTTTGCTCGTTCACTCTATCTGAATATACATACATACTTGGTTTCGTTTCGCTTCATCCGGTGGCGGCTTCTCTTTATCCAAAATCGGAGTTCGGTAACTGTTGTAATTTAACGAGCACCACTTTACACTCGTATTACCGGCGCGTTCACTTTTTTTCGACGTTCCTTTCATGCTGCCATGTCCCTCGTTCGCGAGCGTTGATTTTCGAACGTAAAACGCGGATAAAAGATTACACGGGAAAAAGAAAATAAAGAATACTGGAAAGCGAAGTGGAACGCCAGTGCGTCGAGAGATCGACTTCGTTTGGTGAACAACGAGAGGGTGTCACACTGGTTGGTAAATTAGAATAGCACCCTGGACTTTCTAATGCTGTGCTGTGACCGAGTCTAGCAACGGTCTTTTCTCGATTCCTTGCATGACGGTTGATTGGGGAACGGTGAAATTACTTGAGGTAGGAGGGAACAGATTTTTTTTAGAGAAATTCGATACAGAAAAACGTTGCTCGCGAAGGAAACGAGAAAACGTCATATTCTAACGAATTTCCTTGACATAAAGAAAATCGTGAAGTAGTTACTTTCATTAATAGATTTTGCCTCTTGGATGCTGGCCACTTCACATCATTAACACATTATCGTTAATCTTAAAAACATCGTCCATAATATTTCGCAAATGTGATTCTACAAAAGATTATGGAACATTATAAAAGTGTAGTCTATGTTTAGTTTATGAATAGTTATTGTATAAATAATTCTGCGGATATTTTAAATTGAAATAGTTCAATTTAGTTATGATTTATTAGAATTAAGTAAAGTTTTTAGAGGATTGCAGGGACGATGGAGAATAGAGTATTGGAGGAGAGCATGAATGGAGGAATGAATGACTAAGGATAAGATTAGAAAAATGTAAATCAAGTCCTGTCCTCAGGCCGATAAGGCTAGAATAAAATAAAAAAATATCATCGTACATAATATTTCCTATTGACATGATACGAACTGACGGACAAAATCTAAGAGACTGCACACCAGTGGATAATTATTAGTTATGATTGTTGCGTCGACACGTTCGTGTTACCACAAAGGAACTCCGGTGTTAGCAGGATAGATAGGAGGCAGACATAAATAATGTATTGTTCAGTGTTTGAGGACAGCCGCGCGGCATCGGGACGCAACCGAGGGGCGGTAGGGGCCTACGAGAACTCGCTTTTATAACTCTATCGACAATTTTCAGCTACCCTCTCGTCGGTTTTCGATTTACACCGCAGACTCTGCCGCGCTCTTATCCTTTCTGTTTGATTTATTCCCTCTTCCCCCGCGGAGGAGTGATTTTCGAAACTTTCACGCTGGCTGACCGATTATTGCTATTGTTGCGCCCTTTCGGTTGGACGATTGCGTTGAGTAACGCTAGGAAAGTCGATGACAAATTGCCGATAGTCACTTCATCGCAAGCTTCATTGATTCACATAATTTTCCGAATTTGGTAAAAACGATTGAGCCATGTTAAGTATAAATTATCAAATAGATGACACAGCAGTTAATCACATCGCAATATGTTCTAATACAATCACAATGTGTTTATTATAATTTATGCTGCTAGATATGAGATTGCTTCACCTACAATCCTATAATACATAATGAACGTTTTTAAATCGGAAAATTCAAATTTCAGACACGAAGATTTTATATTAGCCAACCTATGAAATTTCTTGTTTATTTCTTTCTACTAAATGAGAAGAATGTGAATGATAAAATCGGGTGCTTAGCACTCTCGTAATTAGCCTTGCTTCTCTTATAGAGGCTGGTTGATCGCCAGAATCCGATCTCACGTAGCGCGGCATACCCCGTGTATGTTTTTCTGTCGCAAAAACAGCGTATAAATACGGCTTGTTAGTCATGCTCGCCTTGAATCCGATTGCGTCCCGCGCCGTGTAATGGTACCCTTTTATGTTAATCGGTAACCCTTCCGCGTTTAACCAGCTGCGCACGGGTATTGTCTCGGGCCGAGTTTTTCACTGTGCTTTTTTACGACCGCACGCGTTTCACAGTGAAACAAAACGCACGCGCCTGTGTGTTAACCCGACCCACGTGTCGACACGCAGCTAGGTCGGGGGGTCAGTTTTTGCTTCAGACCGCGAATACGAAAGAAGAAAAAAGTGGGAGGAAGGGTAAAGATTGGCTTGCGTTAAGAAAAAAGGGTAAGAGCGGTTGCAAATCTGCCAGTAAACCCGCTCGCCCTTCGAGATGTTTATACTAGGGTTCTCCCTACGTTGTATTGTATGTATGTATGTATATGGACTTATCAGATTAGTTATTATAAAAGGATTGCACGGATTTTTCTTTTGGTTTTATGTTAATTCCATGATGTTGGATTTGTTATAGCTTTTAAACAGAAGTGTAAAACATATGAAATAAGTAAACATCTACACAGATAATCGAATGTTACGATAAATCAGTGCCAATGAAACACATTCGAAATATGTGTATGCACTTATGTATTTCCGGAAAAGAAGAATCGGGAATAGATCGTCTGCAGCGAGCTATGAGGCAAAAGAAAGATTCGCGAGGGGGAGCGCAAGTGGAAGAAATTACAGGTTTCGAAGACCTGCCTTCTAGCAAAGGGTGGGCAGACTTTAACCCTTTTGCCCTCGAGGGCATGCGCACAGGAAAGTCTGCATTGCAACCTCGATAATTGCTGCACCCCAAGACAAAATGGTAGTCGTTAGTAGTGATGGCGGAATCGCAAATCTGTTCGCATCTTAAGAAAATGTTTCCAAAACTTCTTATCGTTTATCAAAATGAATAAGGAATTCGCATATTTGTAAACGTATCTACCTTATGAGTCTTTTTCTTCATTTTATACCGTTCGCTCATCATTATTTGCTGCCGTGAGGAAAAAAGTGGAAATCGTTTAAGTATTTCTTATTAATCTTAAATATTTTGCACCTTACACATTCCTTTACATATGTACATACGTCTTTTGACGTAGTACGTGTATAATTACAATTAGTTTCTTGGATTTGTGCTGTCACATTGCGAAGTACGTTTGAATGGAATGATGTGAAACGAGACGGAAGAGAAATTATGTATTTCAAGTGAGAATAACTATTGCATGAAATTGAAACTGGTCATCGATTGTTCGAATCCGTCGTCCCGCGGTTTCCGGTGGGCCGATAGTGTCTCCTCGGGTCTCGAGCGCCACGCGTAAAGTCATGCTCCGTTGAAAGGAAGCAATTACCAGGGAGATTTAAGGAGGGCAAAGAGGATCACGGCGCGGCGTTTTTTCCTTTTTTCTTTCCTTTTCCTTTCCTCTTCTGGTCCGGTCTTCCTCGGGGTTGATGGCGCGGCTTGCTCCGTAGTTAGCGGGGCGTGTCTTCAGTTTCTTTGAATTAAACATCATGCCCGCTTCAATCAGCCCATCCCTTCGCCTCTTTCGCTCCTTTCCATTCCTACCACGCCGCGTCGGTCCACAAGCGAACCTCGCTTCCTCTTTCTCTCTTCTTTCTACCCGGGAAGTCTTCGTGTCGTCATTTGTCGTTGCACGAACTTGCCGTTCGACGGCTCGTCTTCGGCAACGTTGCGGGGTGAGGTCGAAGGTGAATCTTAGGGTTAAGAATCTCCCTCAGATATGCATCGCAAGATTTTCTTTATTTCTTTAGAAATTCATTTGTCATTATCTTTTATGAATTCGCGTTTCTTACTTCTCGATGCTATATTTGTGCTTGCTATCTTTATAAACACTAACAGAGCTTAGTACTTAGTAATTGTTATCAGTAGAGAACTGTATATCCTTCATTCCACAAACCAAAATATATGATCCGATTTCGAGATTTTATAGGGTCTAGC